CTCAAAAACGAGTAACCTCAGAGCGTTGAAATTTTGTATATAGGACTGCTATAACATGTAGATGTGCATCTCCCATTTTGGTTACAATCGGCCGCATCAAAAGTATATAAATAAATATATGTATATATGTATATATCTACTCTGTTACTCTGCTCAGTACCCCAATACGTAAGATCCCCAATACGTAAGGACATGAGTAATGTAAGCAACACTTACTAAAAGAGAAATCAGAGGGATAAAAAGAAGCTTTATTGAAAACGTAGCATGGAGCGCAATGCGACTGAAGGCCGAAACATCCCTGTGATGGGTGTTCAGCAAGAAACATCCGGTCTTTAATAGGGGATATGATCTCCCCTGACTGCTAGGCAGGTTTCACAGCATCTGCCCATGCTGAGAATGAGGGTGTCAATGAGTTGTTGAGGCATTGCTGCCCATTCGTCTTGCAGCGCCAATCGAAGCTCCGGAATCGTTACTGGTGGTACGGTACGAGCTGCCAAGCGTCTGCCTAGAAAATCCCATACATGCTCGATGGGATTGAGATCCGGAGATCATGCCGGCCAATCCATACGTTCAATATCCTCACTCTCTAAGAGCTGTTCGGCAGCTACTGTGCGATGACATGGTGCATTGTCGTCCATGAAAAGGAACTGCGGACCCACAGCGCCTCTAAAAAAGACACACACATGGAAGAAGAATCTCGTTACAATAAGGGTCCCGTTGACTGAACTTGCGTCGAAGATGTGAAGGTCTATACGACTACCAAGCATGATGCCTCCCCAAACGAGAACACCGCCACCTCCATACCTGTCCTTTTCAATGATGTTCGAGGGATGATTGCGGCTTCCCCGATCTCTCCAGATGAGTGTGCGATAGAATCGCTACTCAGACTGAATCTGCTCTCATCTGTAAAGAGTACTCGTCCCCATTCATTGTCTCTCCAATTCCAGTGTTCCCGGCACCACAGAGAACGCCTTCTCCGATGGGCAGGCGTTAGAGGTACACACCGTACAGGGCGTCGTGCAAACAGACCACCACCGTGCAGTCTTCTGGCCACGGTAAAACGCGATATCGGTCGTCCAGTCGCCTGTGTCGTGTGTCTAGCGATTTCTCCCGCTGTCTGCCGCCTGTTTCTTTTGGCCTGTAAGGCAATATACCGGTCATCTGCGGGTGTGGTTCCTCGTGGACGACCACTACTAACACCCCCGGATAGCTGTTCCTGTAGTTTGAAATTGTCTCCAAAGTCGTGAGTCGTGAAACGATGCTGTGAGCAATTCCGAACTCTGCAGCCACACTTGTCACACTGCGGCCTTCCTCCAACTTCCCAATGATTCGACCTCGGGTAAAAGCATCCAGATGTCGTCTAACAGACTGATTATTCGCCATTTCTCGCTGAGCCAGCAACTCGGTGTGATTTTAACTGCTATACGGCGTGCAATGTCTTTGCCAGAAATACTGATCTTACACCGACAACATGCTTTATACTACTCAGACACTCCTCCATTACGTCTACCTGCATATCTGCGCATGTGCTACCGTACATCACCTTACTTAATCTCCTGATTGCTCTTTCTGTCCGCTCTGTCTCTTCGTTCAGCTGATATGCTAATTTTTCGACTTCGTCCTTAATTTTTGCCCTCCAGTGTATTATACAATAGATACTACAATTTGTACACGATTTTACTAAAAGTATTTACACGTATACGAAATTCGTAACAATATATAGATTTGTTATCTGTACCTATATGTATACTTACCTGTAGTTCCAGTGGCAGAGCAGGTCATGAATAATTGTTGTATCTGTACTTATTAACCGCCATTTATTAATAACCTACAGCTAGTAACTACATCTATCTATATCTGTATCGATTAATTTATATCTATTTTCATCTATATCTGGGTGCATCGCTTAATCCATATCTACCTATATCTGCCTCTACCTATTAATAACCTATATCTAATAACCCATATCTGTTAAGCTGAAGTCCATAATAACCTACATTTATTAATCTATATCTATTAATAACCTATATCTGTTCAGCTATATCTATTACTAACCTATAACTATTAACCTATTTTTTTATAACATATATATCTATTAATATCTGTAAACGTTTATGCTATATCAATCTGCATCACTGTCACAATCTGTATGACTCTCAGTGATTATAGCTGAAATGGGATTATTTATATAACATTATTATTTATAAAGGTCACTTCGACAAAAGTTGCTTTCTTCAAGTTAAAAACTGTATTTAAAATGGCGACTACTTTTGAGGGTACGGGCACATTTAGGAGATTTCGCCAAGAAGAACCATCCTAAAGGTACGGCACTTCCATGGAAGTTGCTTTCTTCAAGTTGTGAACTCAGCTTCATAAGGATGTGGTGACTAGTCACTGAAACAAACACATTTGCACAGGTGTCCCGGGCTCTTGATGAAGGTTGCATCGTTCGTGGTGTAAAATGAACTTCACAAAAGCGGCGGCACCCCTTACATCTTGACGAGCGTTGGCAAACTTGCATAAGTTTCCGGAACTTTCGTTCCATCTGTTCACCTAGATCTTCACAGGAACGTCCCGGAATCTCCACAATGGCTGTATTCTTCGTGGACGTCGAAAGGGTGCCAGGCTGATTCATATCTTGATGAAAAATGGTTAATTTACAAAAGCTGTCACCATCTCTATTCAAGTCCGCGACTGTTCAATTTATTTTATATTGCTAGGGAAAAAAGGTGGGAAAATCGGATGTAACGAATTCCGTGGTCTTCTTTCTATTTTCTCCAGAATTTCTGCAAATTTTACCGAAAAAAATGAATAATCTTTAAAATGTTCCATGTTTAGAATGTTAGGAGTAAAACTGGCCACGAAGGAATTACGGAAGCCTAAAAAGTATTTCATGAAAAAGGTAAAAATTCAGTCATGTAATTCATCATGTCAGCCGTTTATGATAATATCGACTGAAAAGTGGATATAGTCCTTGTGATACTGTAGAGTCATAAAGAATTTTTGAAGCAGATGCGAAAAATGAGCAATGCCCTCGCCAGAACTCGAACCTGGACCTATCGAGTACGCGCTGCGTGTGTTAACCGTTACACCACGAAGACATGCTTGAAAGAGAGAGAAAATGCCTTCTAATATAATACCATCGTTTCAAAAACTATGATTTTATATAAAAAATATTCGTAACGGTGAAGTACTAGTATACAGTGGTGGCCAAAATTGTGGACACTTTTGGAAATTTTTATGTTTTTGAACTTTGTATGCTTATAGAAAACGTTACGTTTCACAAAATGAAAACTTGTATATATCATTTTAAAGAGAATTTATTACTGAATTCAATACAAAACACAAAATTCAATTATTTGCAATACAAAAAAAGTTAAACGTTAGTAGTTATCGATATACATTAGATAGTTGAGATTGCAGTGAGTTATCAGTACTTAGTAGGGTACCCTTTATTTTTGATTACAGTTTCAAATCGACGTTTCATTTTAATGACAAGACTTTTAACCTCTTCTTCGCTATTACAGGATGCCAGGAAACAATTATAGCCTCAATAGTTCCCTTTTATTTGATGGGCGCCTCATTCGAACGAGAGTTTTCAAACGGTGCCACAAATTTTCGATAGGATTGAGGTCAGGACTGTTTCCTGGCCATGACAACAATTTAATGCTCTTTGTACGAAACCACTCTTTCGATATTTTGGCCGAGTGGCGAGGAGCAGAATTCTGCTGAAAAATAAACGAAGCATTGTTGGGAAAGAGATCTCTGATGGAAGGTAGAAGTTTTGGTTCTAGAATAGTGTCAATGTATTTTCTGGCATTCAGTGTCCCATCGATGACATGAAGGCGACCAATACCATCTGCTGACATGCATGACCAAATCCTAACACTAACTGGGTTCTTCACAGTTCCTTGAATACAGTCAGGATGTAGCTCTTCTCCTATTCTACGTCTTACATATTTTCGCCCATCACTACCGATAACGATATCTTAGTTTCGTCACTCCATATAACTTGTGACCACTGATCATCTGTCCAATTAATGTGTTTCTTTGCCCACTGTAGTCTTTGTTTTTGTAGCTGAAAATTAAGATAAGGCTTTTTTCGTGGAATTCTACCTCTCAGTACAACATCTGTTAATCTTCTTCTGATTGTTCTTGAACTGACAGAAACACCAGCATCATTCAGATCACTTCTGATGGCCGCTGATGACATTTTTCTATCTTGGAGACATAGTCTTTTTATTATTCTGTCATCAATAGATGTGGTGCACCTTTTTCCGCCTTTTCCTTCTTTTGTTTTTTATTGAATGTGTCTCCTGATATCGTAAACAAAACTTTCGGACTCCAGATGTAGTCACTGAACCACCCACCTGTCTTGCAATTTCAGCATAGGAAAGATCACTTTCTCGTAACACAATAATATTACATCTCTTTCTAGGTGTCCAGTCTACTCTTTTATTTGATGTTATTGCTTCTTGACTAAATATTAAAAATTTTTACAAAAATTCCGACTTGTAATTGCAGTGTATAAGAAACAGGTCCTCCTTCTACAGAACAAAGCAAAATAATGAATTGTTTCAAGTGTAAACATGATGTCATCTTCTACTGGCAGTTGCTAACATTTGATTGGTTCTCGGAACAAGAACAGTGATTGGCCAGGAAAGCTAGACATTACAAACCACTTCATAACTGTGTTTTTTATTTATATTAAAGTACATATAACTTTTTTGTATTGCAAATAATTGAATTTTGTGTATTGAATTCAGTAATAAATTCTCTTTAAAGGATATATACAAGTTTGCATTTTGCGAAACGCAACATTTTCTATAAGCATACAAAGTTCAAAAACATAAAAATTTCCAAAATTGTCCACAATTTTGGCCACTACTGTATATCGTAGTATCATAACATACTCTGTGATAAAACTTTGAAACTTTGTTAAGCGTGTCAAAGGAAATTGAAAAACTTTTTCACTAAATAAAAATTTATAACAAACTTACCATGGTAAGCAGTCGGAAATCTTTTGCGGAAATAAGTTAAAGATGGCAAATTTTTAACTCCGTATTTCCGAGCGTAGCGAGCATCCTTGATTTTGACAAATAGTATATCTAATTCATCTATCTCGTCGTCTATTTCTTCCAAAGAACGAAGAGCTTCATCGCATGCTGGGCAATCTCCATCATCTATAAAAAAATAAGAATCATGAAGGCGTATAAATAGTGTTATGTCCAACCAATATGGTGGCAACAAGAAAATTAATAATAGCATCCGGAGATACGTTCCTGCAACGTATTAAATAAACAGTTATTGGCCAATATGTTGGGCACAAAAAAACTAATAACATTTTCTCGCGGTATGTTATCTGAGCACGTTAAATATTAGGAAAAAAAAAACTGTCCAATATGTGGGCAACAAAAAAATCAATATTACCATCTTGTAAATTCATTAGATTGTTTTGAAGAAGGAGAAGAGCAAAATGAGCAGTGCCGTCGCCGGAACTTGAACCTTCGACCGCACGAATACGCGTCGAGGGTGCTTCCAATTATACCACGAAGGCCGTAGAAAAGGCGGGCGAAAGTACTTTTTATATACTCCCCATTTTAAAGGCGGATCTGAGATGAAGGGACCCAGTCGTCAAATTCTGTTGGTGACGAATTACCATCCATTACGATTTAGCTTGGTCGCCACTGCAGAGCCATTACGTTATTTTGAAGTAGATGTGGTGTGGTGTATTTAATTATGGCAAAGCACACTAGGGCTATCTGCCTAAGAGGAGGGATGCCCTTCGTGGAGGACTTTCTAAGGGAAACTGGCTCGTATACACGTTACACATGGGGAAAACCACGAAAACACCCATGCAGCCAGCCCGTTCGCGGGATTCGAACCTCGGACCGAACTACCAGTGTTTAGCGACTTTACCGCTCGGCCGCTGGTGGGCACCTATTTTGAAGTAGAAGAGGTGAAAATTGTGCAATGCCATCGCCGTAACTGCAACACTGGACCTCTAGAATATGCTTCCAATTAAACCACAAAGGCAAGCGGAAAAAATCTGTGTACACCACATGACTTCCTTGTACAGAATATTAAATTATACGCATTTTTTTTTCTTGAATTTCATTTAAATTGATTGGATTGAATTAAATCTACTTCGTCAACAGAGCATAAACCACAATAGAATAAATGCACTCTTTAAAATTCACTCTATTTGTTTACTATAACGACACTCTGAATGCACAAAATTTATATCATTTGAAGAATTATCGTTGCCACATGTTCTCTTAAAATACTATAATAAAGATAGAACGATACATGAAAGAAATTAAGCAAACAAAACAAAAAAGAAACAGTTTTTCACAGACGATTGAGTATTTCTCATTCAATTAATTCAGTTCTCACTTCGTGACAAGGCAAAAATACATAAAAACTCAAAATATCTGCATTAAAAATTACGAAGTAAATCTTAAACACTTATTTCCTCGAAAAAATTTCAGAAAGGATTAACCATGATTTAATTCGCAATAATAAATGAAGGCGTTATTTTTGTGTTGCGAAGCTTAGTTTCCATAGATTGGCAACAAATCTACAATTGTGCTGTTTCAAATGTAAACAAATATGTCCGACATGTTATTTGAAACTTAACCGCACTTCAACAGCTTTTAATTTGTTGATAATTGTACAAATATTGCTTCCAGAATTACGAAAGGCATAAAAACCTTAACCGAAAGATAAAAACAACATAATTCAATCGTTTTTAAAGCAAAAAATGTACAATTTACTAACATATAAGAGTAAAGAAACTGAGATCACTGAGCCGGGTAACAGAGTGGATATATATATAAATATATTTATATAAGTTTGGTGCGGCCGATTGGAACCAAATTACGAGGTGCACATCTACATGTTATAGCAGTCCAATATACAAAATTTCAATGTTCTGAGGTGACTCGTTTTTGAGTTATGCGAGACACGTACGTACGTACATACGTTCGTACAGACGCCACGAAAAATTCTCCTCAGAATTAATTTTAAAGCAGTTTTATAATTTTTTTGGAGGAAACGAGTCTTTTATTTTGTCCTTACGTACAGATATCACGCAACAACATCGTTAAATTGCATTCGATAGCGGTCAAAATGGACATTTTCGTTGAAATATGCTGCCTGAAACTTCTCGCGATTACCATACTTCCTTTTTACTTCGTACAAGGAAGTAAAAAGGGAGAAAATACCTTTATAATCTCAAGATATGGTCACGGGATTTATTAAATAATATCTTTCAAAACTTTGACCAGTATTTGGCAACAAGAAAATTGTGTTGCTGTTGCAACTGATCTCTTTTTGTATGAATCTGAAACAGTCCATGAAATTCATCGTGGGAAGGGGTACAAGATGATGCCTGTCGTCGGCAAGAGCTCTGGACACCGTATATAGGTGACAGTACGATTTTGCCCAGTTCCCCCCCCCCCAATTTTGAGGAACAGCACCTCGGGGGCTGGGTCCTAGGAACTACATGAGAGGAGTTTCGACTCGCCATGTATTTAGAGTGCCCAATGCTGCAAAGACATTATACATTTAATAACAACCATGATCTATCGTGGATTCGAACCTGAGCCATACGGTATGGTAGTCAGAGTCATTAACCACTAACCAGTTTGGGTGACACAAGAAAATTAATAACAGCACCTCGAGATGTACTCTTCCAACGTATTAAATGAGAAGTTTAAAAAAATTGACTTATTAGTTACTTATTAGTTAATACAAAATTTTAAATGTAGAGTTACAAATATTATTTGCTTTTTTTGTGCTCACAAATTATGACGCCAAACTTCACATAAAGTTTTCTCAGCCATGTTTGTGATGTTATGATTGAATGATTTGTAGATGATTCATTTTTTTTTACCATGATATTTTTTTACGACGATTTTTCAAAACTGCGATGTTTTTTCCTCGCGTTATTTTCACCTGTAATCAGTAAGATACGTTATAAATTCCCCAAGAATTAATTAGATTAATTTCAGTATATTTGCTTCTGACAAATCTTTCTAGATAACTAAAAAATATTCATCGAAACATGAATTAACGTACTGAAGAATCCCACCCGCAGCATTGAAAAGATTTTCATAAAATTCTGTGCTTTATCTTGTAAGGATTATGTTAATTTTATTAACAGTTAAATTTTAAGTTAAAGTTCCTTTCCTGTCAAATTCTTAACTTCAACTTACTACTTCCGGCCAGAACGTAGTTTTGGAATCTTGCTGAATATTTAATGAGGAGGAGCGGTATTTAAACCACGAAGTTACTTATTGAGTCGGAGAGAATCAGAGTTTCTGATTTACGCGCGTCTGCCTTTTTGGCCACTCTCTCTCAAAGCTGTTATTACACTCGGCCGTACTCAGGCCCTTGCTAAGCTTCGTAGTCAAATAAGTTAAGGGGCCAACTCGATTTGAACCTTGATAGCTTCGGATGTACTTCTTTAGTTAAGCTTAGTTTTAGTTTAATTCTTAGTCTTTTAAGTTCAAGTCCAAGTGCGGGCTTTGCTTGTACACTCCCAGGCGGAGTTTTGTTAAATCTTATCGGAATAATAAAGGGCTAGTTACCCTTCTATCTTGTTGTTTTTTGTCACCGAACTCAAGCGATTATTCGCTTATCAGTTCTTAGATTCTTCACTTCCAACATTAACTTAGAATTCCAAAGTGAGGAACTCTACAATATTAAGAAACTAAGTGCCTAAAATCAGTATGTAAGAAAGGAGACCTTTAATCGCCTTTCTAAAAACCCTTGTATATCCTGATAACTTGTAACTTAGATATACCAACAGCGGAACAAAAACTAGAGATTATTATGACATCAATAAAAATACAATGAAGTTTAGATGTATTATTCTGTTGATTTACCGCTTCATTACCGATATTATATCATTACCTTATTTACCGATCCACGCTTATTTAATTGTGCATTTAACTCAGATATCATAGGCTTAAAATGTCAGTAATAAATCACTATACTTACAAAAGAATATTGCAATAAAATCATTTTCTTGTAAGAGCTTGTCGAGCATTTTTCTGCTAACTTCTTCAATTTCATTTTTCAGTTCGATTATATCTTGACTAGTTAGCCAATTTAAAACTCTTTCCGGATCGCTTAAGGAACCTAGATGAACAAAATTCAAGAATAAAAAATGGATTATTTTTAATAAAGCATTATATTACTAAACCTATATAAGTAGTGAGAATGAGTAATTATACAAGGAGCCTATAGGAAGAGGAATTCATGTGAGAATTGTGAGTTGGTAGATGTGTGAAGAGTAATGATTATTTGTAGCAGTTATGAGAATTATGATTTGAAAGCTATATAAAGAGTAATAAATTTGAGTTAGAGTTATGAAAATTAGAGGTATGAAGTATAATGTATGAAGCTTTTATATCTGGTCATGGTAAATTTGCAAGTTATCTGTTTCGTCTTAATCTACGATCAAACAATTTATGTGAACGTTCAAAAAGAGTTTCTCGGGATGTGGAACATTTCATTTTCTCGTGCCCTACATTTGATGGCCCTAGATTATGCTTACAGAACGATTTGAAAATATTCGGAGTGACTTGGCCAGTGAACTTATCTGTTTTCGTGAAGTCCTGACTGCTGTTCTCTGCTTTCGTTCGCTTTATTTATGCATGTAATTTTTAATGTTTATTTATACACGTAACCTTTAATGTTCTAGTTAACTTACTTCTGTAAGCCCCGTGTTGTACATATGTGGTGCACGGGGAGTCTGTATGTTCTCAAAGGAAAAAAAAAAAAAAAATGTATGAAGCTGTGTGAAGTATAATTATTGTGAGTAAGAGTTATGAGAATTAGGAATTGAGAACTCATGAAGAATAATGAGTAAGAGTTATGAGTTGAGTTATACAAAAAGTAATGATTATGAGTAAGCGTTCTGAGAATTAAGAGTCAATACCTCTATGAAAAGCAATGATTACGAGTAAGATTAATGAGGATTAAGATTCTACTAATTAAGTTAAAAGATTTGTGAAGAGTAGTGATTATGAATTAGAATTGAGAAAATTCCGAGTTAAAAGCTATATGAAGAATAATAGTTATGAGTAGAATTAATGAAAATCAAACATTCTACTAAACTTATGAAGAATAGCGATTATGAATAAGAACTAGCTGTACGAAGAGTTATGATTATGAACAAGAGTTATGAGAATTGTACAAAGGCTATATAAGGAATAATAATTATGCAAATGAGTTATGAGCTTTGTGAGTTTAAAGCTGCACAAAGATAATGACTAAGAATAACACTTATAAGAATTGTGAGTTGATAGTTATATGAAGACTGTTCCCGCTAGGCCTGCAGTTCAGATTTTTCAGCTTGCTGCCCTATGGAAAAAAAACTGGTTTTGGAGATGGGTCGGCTACGTTAGTTGTGTCCGTTAGCTCAGATAAACCCCAGTGGGAACGGCCCTTAAGAGTTATGGAGGTTAAACATTCTACTAAAGTTTAAAAAGTATGTTAAAGTATGAGCAGATGAAGAACAATGATTATGACTAAGAGTTAGAGTTATGAAGTGAAAGCTATATGAAGAGTAGTTATTACGAGTTGAAAGATTGTGTAAAGGATAATGATTATGCATACAAGTTAAGAGCTGAAAGCTGTATGAAGAGCAATGCTTATGAATAAGAACCATGAAAATCCTGAATTGAAAGTTATATGAAGAATATGAGCAAGATTAACGATTTGGTGCTACTTTGGTAGACGGTTGTACGGATTTTTCGCGAATTACGTTGCGCAATTGTTGGCGCGATTTTTACAATCGTCAGCCATCTTGAAAAACGCTGTTTTTACGCATAGTAAAGTATTCGAAACTTAAAAAAAAAAATATCTTTAAAAGTAATGGATTAATTTTTTGTCGAAAATGTCGTTTTTTAAGATGGCAGGCAAGTGTAAATAAATACATTTACTATGAGTATAAAATACTAAAGTAAGGCTATTATTACTTTCATATAGCAAAAAAGAGAATAAAAACACCGCTATAAAAACATGTGCCAACGTTTAATTAGATTAAAATATTACTGAAATTGAATATCGAATTAAAAAACCATCCTACCAACATTTAAAAGAATTATAATATAATTAAATTCAAATACTTTAAAATACGTTATACAAAATATAATTAACATTAAAACATATGTGACAATAATTATCTCAGCAATTTTTGAAAATAGTGTATTAATTTTTTTAAACAAAAATTGAAGTATACAATTATAAAATAAAAGAAAAATATGTACTTACATTTTTTTGAAGTAGTTTAACCTCTTGTTTATTGATAAGTACCTACTACAAAAAAAAAAATCGAAATCATAATTGAATTCGGCTCTTTTACCACCATCTTCATCTGTTATCCACATATCTCGCACTTCATTGAAGAAGCAATTAGCGAGGTTTCCTCCAAAAAATTTGAAAATAAATTTTCCTCTTGACGCTATTAACAATTTATAAATAAATCTTTGATTAGGAAAGACAGGTTGGCAAAAATAAGGTCTCAAAGGGCAATTTTTTTATTCCTTTACCTATAATTTTTGGTAATTACCAATAACAACATTCATCTTCGAAACGGAGATATCCATTCCATTTGAAATCTGACGAATTCGAAGAGATGAATAATAAAATTTTAAAATGGCGCGGTAATGCACAAATATTCAGTAACCAATCAGGGAGCTGATTACATCACGCATACAATTAAAATTATTTAAACAATCATTCATAATAAAATCATTTTTAAAACAAATGCAAAATTAAATTGTATTTTAATATTTAACAGCCATAAATAATGTATAAACCATTAGATTAAATTTATAGATATTAATAAACCAATTACTTTTAAGTAGGTGACGACGTCATTGATTACATCATCAACACAACATAAAATTATATAAAAAATATTATAAAAACAAAAAAAATTTTTATTTCAAATAAAAATGTAAAATTAAATTGATTTTTAATATTTAGAAGCCATAAATAATATTTAAAACACGGAAGTTATGCATAATAAAACGCATTATTATTTTAATAAAATGACAACAAAGTATCGGTTACCATAAATAACTCATCCAGCAATGGGTTTACCATAAGTTGTATTACTCGCCAAAAAAAATCGCCAAAATCCGTGCAACCGTCTACCAAAGTAGCACCATTAACATTCTATCAAAGATAAAATGTATGTTAAGGCATGAGGTGTAGGGATTATGAGTAATTACACAAAAGTTATATGAAGAATAATGGGTTCGTATTAAATGCACCTTATTGGCGAATATAGTCACATTTTAGTTTCCGTCGGAAAGTGTTTAGCGATTGTCTTTAGAACGACATCGAACATACCATTTGCAGCGTGTCGTTGCCTCCAGAGAAAGGTAGGATCAGAGCTGGTGGCCAGCTGTTCCTCCATGCTTTTTGTTTCGCCATTTAACATTTCCGCATACGCATTCCATATTTTGCGTGTGCGTGCCAGTTTCAGGATCGATGAAATTATATTTTTGATTTACTTTACAATGAATATACACAGATTTTCAAGTCATATGTCCAAGTGTTTTATATACCTTCCAACAGCGGAAAAAATTATCGTTCTTCTTTCTTTTCAATTTCGTTCATTTTTGTAATGCTACTACGATAGGCGACCATTACAAGAAATGTGTCGCGACAAATGCTCCCCCCCCAAAAAAAAAAAAAATCCACTGTGCAGGCAGCATTGTTCCAGCAGCATTTTTGCGTCGCGGGAACATGTTTTCGCCGATCTTCACAACGCATCAGACGCCGCCGATTGTCTCCTTTTGCTGCTGCGGCCATTTCGAGAACGCAGATAATTATTCCAATTCACTAACGTTCGTCGGCAATTGCTAGATTGCCCACTAACCGCCAACCTACACGTCAAACACCCTACTCAAGTGGGAATGGAATTTAAAATATTCCTAATCAACCATCAACACACCTACAAAAACATTAAACTAATCATAGACAAGCTACAACAACAAGGTAGAGAACAATACGGTTACAACCACTCATAAATAACAATACGGATGTAATGATGAATACCTAGCAATCGAAGTGCCACCACAGAGCTGTCCAAAGAATCATGACTGTTTGCTCACCTCCACCGAAGAACGACACCTAATCTGCAGCTTCACCATTTTAACTTTCCATGGAAACAATCTAAGGTACTCATATGATTCAAATATGATTTTCAACAGGGAGTGCTCCTATCTTAAGTCATTACTATTTATGTGAGTGATGATTATCAACTACCAGTGCCTTCAAACTGCCAAAGCGCAGTACTTTGAACTTTACACTATTATCTGATGCTCATTATACAAAGTGCTCTCCATGCTGCTGCGCACAATTCTGTGCACATTGAACTCTATGCACAATGAACTCTGCGCAAAGTAAACTCTGCAAAATCTGTGCACAATCACACAACGGTACCACCAACACAAAAATAACATAGCATTATAACTCACGTCACATCCATCTTCCCAAATGCTAAGGTATTCCTCCAAGCACACCAACAAATGTCAAACTGCAACACCTAATTAATTGTAAATTGTAACATGTTATCTGCATATTGATTCCTGTATACCAATATATCTGTACCTCGATTACCTGTACCCCAGTTTATCTGTATAACTGTTTTCCTATGTAAATAACTTGTTACTTTAATGTAATTTATTATGTCAACTGCGCAATGTAATGACCTGAAATGTAATCTTTTATCTTAATAAATGCCAGAAAAGGTTAGTGCAGTGGGGCAATACCATTTTTGTCTATGACGATGTCGTGGTGCCCCCTGCACTTTTTCCTGTCCTGTCCTGCTTTTTGTAGAACTTGACCGACGTTTGTTATTGTTGACTCACTTGTCTGACAGTAACATCACTCCAAGCCCACGAAATTCCTCGTTGCAAAGAGCGCAAGATTACGCCTATCGTTGGCAACAGTCTTAAGCACCTAACAGGTGACAGTGCGATTAGCTCAGTTCCGTCCCCAATTTTGATCGACGTCACGCCGGGGGGCGGGTCCGAGGGTCTCCCACTCTTATTTCCGAGAGGACTTTTGGCTCGCCGCATATTTAGAGTGTTCCCATGCCACACGGATACTATACATTTACAAACATCCATGCATTCTCCAGGATTCGAACCCGTGCCCTTCGGGACAGCAGTCAGCGACGTTAACCACTTCGGCCCGACGTTTGTTCTTCATACCAGCAATACATGAAACGCAAGGCTGTTGTGAATGTTATTCGACTTCCTTCGAACCGGTTTCCTACACGCATTCTAATACTTTTACTACATTTTTTCCAAAAAAATGCGATCTTCGTTGACGTATAGCTTCTTTGAGTGCGAAAAGTTCGGATTCTCGATTTTCCGATAGTATGTCATAATTCTGCAAATAGCGAACTGCCTCCGTTTCACTTCGAGGTAAGCCCCAGAGATCCATAAAAATCAAAAGTAAGGTACAATTTTTCCTTGATTTCTAAACGAACAAATGACTCTCTAATAAACAGCTATCTTATCGAACCACGTACAAACACGAAAATGTCAATAGATTGTCAAAAACCGTGAAATATTTGGCGATTAATCGTTAGGATGCGGTCAACACTAACGAAGCGAATAATGATTATAACTAAGAGTTAGAATTAGGTGTTACTTTGGTAGACGGTTGCACGGATTTTGGCGATTTTTTGGCGATTTTTCTTTTGGCGAGTAATACAACTTATGGTAAACCCATTGCTGGATAAGTTATTTATGGTAACCGATACTTCGTTATTAAAAAAATAATGCATTTTATTATGCATAACTTCCGTGTTTTAAATATTATTTATGGCTTCTAAATATTAAATTCATTTAATTTTAATTTAATTTTTATTTGAAATAAAAATTTTGTTGTTTATAATATTTTATATAATTTTATGTTGTTGATGATGTAATCAATGACGTCACCTTACTTAAAAAGTAATTGGTTTATTTAATATCTTTAAATTTAATCTAATGTTTTTAAACATTATTTATGGCTGTTAAATATTAAAATACAAATTAATTTTGCATTTGTTTAAAAATGATTTTTATTATGAATGATTATTTAAATAATTTTAATTGTATGCGTGATGTAATCAGCTCCCTGATTGGTTACTGAATATTTGTGCTTTACAGCGCCATTTTAAAATTTTATTATTCATCTCTTCGAATTCGTCAGATTTCAAATGGAATGGATATCTCCGTTTCGAAGATGAATGTTGTTATTGGTAATTGCCAAGAATTATTGGTATTGGAATAAAAAAATTGCCTTTTGAGACCTTATTTTGGCCAACCAAAGATTTATTTATAAATTGTTAATAGCGTCAGAGGAAATTTATTTTAAATTTTTTAAGGAAACCTAGCTAATTGCTTCTTCAATGAAGTGCGAGATATGTGGATAACAGATGAAGATGGTTAAAAGAGCCGATTCAATTGTGATTTCGATTTTTTTTGTGGTACTTATCAATAAACAAGAGGCTAAATTACTCCAAAAAAATGTAAGTACATATTTTTCTTTTATTTTATAATTATACTTCAATTTTTGTTAAAAAAATTAATACACACTATTTTCAAAAATTGCTGTAAATAATTATTGTCACATATGTTTTAATGTTAATTATATTTTATATAACGTATTTTAAAGTATTTTGAATTTAATAATATTCTAATTCTTTTAAATGTTGGTAGGATGGTTTTTAATTCGATATTCAATTTGACTAATATTTTAATCTAATTAAACGTTGGCACAATGCTTTTATAGCGGTGTTTTTATTCTCTTTTTTGCTATATGAAAGTAATAATAGCCTTACTTTAGTATTTTATACTCATAGTAAATGTATTTATTTACACTTGCCTGCCATCTTAAAAAACGACATTTTCAACAAAAAATTAATCCATTACTTTTAACGATATTTATTTTTTTTTTTTTTAAGTTTCGAATACTTTACTATGCGTAAAAACAGCGTTTTCAAGATGGCTGATGATTGTAAAAATCGCGCCAACAATTGCGCCAACGTAAATCGCCAAAAAATCCGTGCAACCGTCTACCAAAGTAGCACCTAGAATTATATATTGAAAGTCATATGAAGAATTATTATTCTGACCAAATGCTATAATAATATGAGTTGAAAGCTGTATGAAGAGAATAATGAGTGAGAGTAATGGGGGATAAACATTTACCTTCATAGAAAACTGGTACTCTCTTCCTGAAATAGGCCAGGGTCGGAACACTGTGAACTCCCCACTTGACAGCCGAAGCTGGGTCGCTTACTTTAACAAAGCCGATCCCAAACAAATCAGCTTCTTCATCGATCTCTTCGAGTTCTTTCAAAATGTCTATGCATTCCTCGCATTCCTTCTCGTCTGCAAGAAAATTATGAATACATTTCAATTTCAAATGGAAAATCTGGGTAACATATTATTGCGTGCGTACGGGTTCGTAACAGATTGAATGTACATGTCCGATAATAAGTTAATAAACATTTATTATCATCAAAGGAAATATAACAGAACGCCGGAATTATCCTCAGAGATATTCGTACAAGTGTTCACTATATCACGCAGTAATAATCAGTAGTTGTATTTCAAACTACTAAAAACTTAAAAACACAACGCATTCTAAAGCGTATCTAAAGAGAAAGTTAATCCAAATATCTCAATTCACGCGGAACTAAACAACTTGCAACAACAGGAACTAAGCAACTGAACTTGATGCTCTCTCTTTGGCCTTTTATAGATTTTCAACGGGCGCGAGAAATTTCTAGTACTTCCTGCTTCTCGATATTTCTCAAAGCAATAGCAGGATGGAATTACGGTTGCAGCTGATATAGCGGTCAATTACATTTATTCAATTTCAATACAAACTGTACGTACAGTTGTCACTCAGAGTCTGTACATATAGACCGAACTCAGAACGTTCTAGTTAGACGTAACTCAAAACGCTCTAGTTAAACGTGATTCGGAACGTTCTTTGCATGTTATACAGAAGTGTTAACCCACATAGCACAAAAACATCCTTGGGATATCCCGAGGATGTTGCTCGCGGGATATGCGCACATCCTCAGGACATCCCGGAATATCCCGCGAACCTCTTAAACACCTCCTCCTGAGTGCTTAATGTCACATCCCGGGATATCCTCAGGACATCCTAACTAAGTCCCATCGACAGCGTGCGGGATGTTATTAGGATATGAACTCCTACTTACTACATCCTCAGGACATCCCGGGATATCCCACTAACATCCTAAAAACATCCTATCTATGTCCCATCGACAGCGTATGGGATGTTATTGGGATTTAAAGTCCTACTTACTACATCCTCAGGACATCCCGTAATATCCCAGTTTCCTCCTAAACTCATCCTCCCGAGTGCTTAATGTCACATCCCAGTATATCCTTAGGACATCCTATCTAAGTCCCACCGACGGCGTATGGGATGTTATCAGGATTTGAAATACTAATTACAATATCCCTTTAACCTCTTAAATACATACTCTCAACTGCTTAATGTTACACCCCAGTATATCCCCAGAAATCTTCTTTATATTCCAGTGAAAGTGTGTGAAGGTGTTTTGATAACCTGAAACTTGCTTTTTTTTCCACAGGCAGTCTCAGGTCCTCCATCTGTGGTTACTATGGAGAAATAAGAAATGTTAAGAATATTTATACAATTTATTTTTCTAATTTGAATTTCAATTTATTTAATAATTTTTAAATATATCTAAAACAGAGCAAGAGACTTGAAATGAATTATTAATACAAAATATTATAAGAGAAAATTTTGCTTTAAGATATTAAAAATCTTTCGATCATTTTTAACCATTCAATAGCCCAAAACTGAATTCTTCGATATATTCATAATTAAATTATTCTACAAATTCAGTTCTGACTTCAGTTAATTTGTGTTCAAAATTCAATAATAAAATTAAGCATTTAATAACCTTTAAGTAGTGGACCAGATGTGTGTAGATTTTGAAATTCTGAACTTAAGTCGGTTACGTTGATTGAATCATTATTCATAGCTACAATATGATTAAACAGTTCATGAGTTCGTCTTGCTATTTGCTGTAATGGAGCGGAAGATTTTCTAATCAATTTTTTTATAGAAGATTTATTTCTATAAAAATTCAAATTTAAATGCACTGTAATTATCTAACGACCCAAACATTTTTACACCTTCTCAAATATGCAGTAGGCCGTGAACATTATGAGACATATACTGTTTTTCATAATAAAGCCCAAAATTTACTACGAAGAGTTTTAATAGAGACTGTGCGTATTCATAAATTGCCGTCTGATTCTGTATTTTGCATAAGAGTGTAATCGAAATATGAAGTAGTAAAAAATGATCATATAGCTTTTTGTTAAATTAAAAAAAAAAAAATAAATGGGCTAGTGTACAATAAAAATTGACGGTATTCTGTAGCTTTCCAGTGTTTCAATTCTTTTAGAGTTGGTTCCTTGGTTTTCTTGCAAATTCAACTGGTACGTAAGGTTTTAAAAACTGGTCATTTAAAAAAAAAAAAATAGCTCAACATTTTTATGTGGCAATCGTGCTTGTAAGGTGCCTCCGCCTATCCTAATAGTAATCATTTTTTGTACTACTCCTGAGCACACAAGGTGCATAAAGTCTAACGGAATATTTATTAGTCCTATATTTGGAATATTCCTTAAAATAGGATAATCGTTTTGGTAATCGTCATCAGTCAGTTCTTCTTGAGACATAAAAGTTCATATTTCGAATCACAGTTTGAAATGGAACTTAAAGAATATTTGCTAGCGCGAAAATTCGATACAGGCTTTTTTCATAATTAAATGCTACTTCATCTTCTGACGAATCCGATAATATACGTTGATTTATTCTGCTATAAATCCGTCTTTTAGATATCTGAGATAATTTTTTTTAGTTCTGATCATTTTTGGAAAATAAAGGAAAGATTTTGAAACTTACTTTTCACACTCTCTCAGTGTAACGCTTGCAAGCGTCAGCAAGTCAGTTCGTAACTGAAACAGAATTTGGAACGACGGCTATTAACGTTTAGCAGAACAGCTGAATTCTGGAAATCAGAAAATAAGTACGTGTACTTTCCGCTTTGTGGGGTTCTTCAAGGATATCACTATTACGGAGCAATTAAAACCGTTGGGGGGCATTCAGCGTCCCAACGGTTTGTTGTGAAGGGATGTTCCCTCATGGTTTCCTACCTCCATGTTTCCCTTTTAGGGGATACAAAGAAGAAAAGGTCTGACACATAAATCTGCCACGTTAACAAAAGAGAAATCTTCTTGGGGCATCGGCTACAGAAAAAGTGCTTAGAGGTGTTACATTCTGAGCGGAGCTCGGTTTCTCAAAAGCAAAGAAAAGTTGAGAAGCAGTTTTACGACCAATGATAATGATTTAAACAAAGATTTAAGATTTTCAACTTCAATTGTTATTTATAGTATAAAATAAAGTAATAAAACTGCTGAGTTTAAAGAACGCGTTTAATTTAAAAATTAAATCATTTTAATTTAAAGTTTGAACATCTATTTAATCCGTTATCTAATTTTGAGTTTTCATAACAACATTTAACTTTGTGTTATATACCTTGAAGAAACGTGTTTACTGCATTTTCTGGATGTTACAAATAAATTAATAAAGCAGTAATTATTGTTAAATTATGAGGAGTCATGTAGCATTGTCCGGCATAACGTATAAGACTGCAGAGCGCTGGATATATTTTTTTCGCGCTTTGTTTAGCAAAGACCGAATATTTGTATGTTTAAAGAGGTAGCAAAGTGAGGTTTGAGGAGAGTAAGAACTTAATGTTAGTTCTTCCCATTCTCAAACCTTATTTTCCTATTACAGAGAGGTAAAAAATAAGTTACTTCTTACCTCAGTCGCTTTGAAAGACTAATTCTCATTATTAAAGAACTTACCAGAAAATGAACGAAGAAACTGCAATGAATTTTTTAGCCCAATAAAATTATTCTTCTGTTTATAAATCAAATTAAAGCAAGTTAAACCTCGTACAGACTAGTTTTTTAATGCGTCTGTAAACTAAAATTTCGTTTGTTAAAAAAAAATTATTGTTACTTATTACTGCACAGCACTAAACATCATTCATTACTAATATAATAGTGTAACAGATCAAAAAGTATTTTTTTTTCTTTTGCAGTTTCAAAGTATAGTTATTTCTATGCTAAGAACTATCGATGAATTTAATAGAATACTTTTATAACTTGATATTTCTGATTAGTGCCTCAGAGACGGGTAAGTGATTAGTGACTGATTGCCGTACAGAAGGGCTCAAGTTCGAATGCCAGATAAGGCATGGATGTACATCATGCCCATCTGTTCATAGGATAAATGTCTTCGTAAAAGATTTTTTTTCTGAGTTAACCTGTAACGTACATAATATTTGTGTTCAAAGATATTAGAAAAGTATCTAAAATAATGTTTACAAATATATTATGTAGCAATTAGAATTTAATCGTAAACACACTTTCAATATGAAACTCAAAACGGATGAAAACACGTGCCTATAATTTGTAAGAAAGTTGACTCTGATCAATAGGCACTGTGAAACAACAACAAAAATTTGAAAATATTATTACTTAATACTTTACAGCCAACATATACAAGACGAAATCCAGTGTAAGCATAACAATTAAATTTTCATATGCAGAATAGGTAATCCATAGAGTAAGATTTCGATTCTTATAACATGACTTGCGTGTGGTACAAGGTTACTTTATTTTAATATTTTCAGATATGAGCTTCCATAAAAAGTAAGTACTGAAGGTATCTGAGAAACAAACATCCTCAGGAGATCTTCATATATCCCGGGACATTACGACTTCAACAGGACATCCTTAAGATGTTGATTTACGAAGTCCTCAGGATATCTGAAAATCAACATCCTGAGGAGATCTTCATATATCCCGGGACATTGAGACTTGAATAGGATATCCTCAGGATTTTGACTTAAGAAGTCCTCAGGATATCTGAGAATCAACATCCTCAGGATATCCTAACTGCTTCCCGGGACATTGCGACTTAAATAGGATATCCTGAGGATGTCTTGTGTTATGGGGAACAGACAAGATTGACATGCTATGCTCGTATAACCTTTAATATAGACGACATTCAGAACGCCTGCCCAAACGTTAGAAACGTTCTGCTAAGTTATAGAAATTTATATAGTTCTAGTAACGTTATATAAAATTGTTATTAGTACCACATTTTGACGTTCTCTTGTCCATTAATGAACTACATCTTACAGATGTAGTTCAGAACGCTTTGCCTGAACGTTAAAGAAACGTTCTGCTAGAACGTTCTAACAGAACGTTCTGTTAGAACGTTGAAGGAACGTTCTGTTAGAAGG